CCCGGCCGGGCCTTTGAGCGGCTTGGAGGGGCGGGGCGGAGCCGAGGCGTCCACGTGGGGCGGGCCCAGCCTGCCCTTGTTCTTCGAGGGCACAGGGAGGCGGAGCTGAGATTTCCTCGCAGAGCTGGCTGCGGCCCTGAGGAGCTATTTTGGTGGACATGTTTATGAAACGCTGTCGGAGTGAGGACAGACTTGGGAACTGTTGCAGACGCATGAGTCAGTGTGTGTGAAATCAGTCCACTGTGTCTTGGAGCTGTCAGCCGGGCTCGGGCGCCTGTGGCTCCGTGGCCAGCGCGCTTTAGCCCTGACCTGGGCTGGCCGATGAGTCCCAGGCCCTGGCGGCGTCCAGCAGTTCCCTTGCAGCGCTCTGAGTCTTGGGAGGGCCGGAGAGTGGGAAGGGCGAGGCAGCCTCTGGAATGCTGGCCTGGAATGTTTTCCTTCGAGAGAGGAGGGAGACATTCCATGCTCGTGCCTGGCCCAGTTAACAGAGCCTGGGCCCTGGGGGCCTCCCCCAGGTCCTCTTACCCTCCTAACCGTGAATTCAGTTTGTTGTGAAGGAATCTTTTTGGTGGGGGGGCTACAGCCGTGATGAAGAGTCACCCTGCCCCCTCACCTGTCACTTGTCCTGACTCTACAGTCTGGTGTCATGGACTAGATAGTGGGACACGAGGGCAGAAGGTAGCCGTTGGGCGAGGAGGTGACCTGTGAGCTCTAGGGGATGGCCTCTAGGCTGAGGGGAAGCCCCAGTGCTGTGGGTGAGGGTCAAGGCCGTAAGGTCACATCAGGGCTAGTGGGTGGTGCCCGGAATTAGGTGTCTGGGCCGAGGTGTGACCTCTGGACTGCTGAGTGACCGCTGGGCTATGGTCTCAGCTGCCCCTTGAGCTGTAAGTTGATTGCTAGGGTGTAGCTGGGTTTGGGGCTGTGGGGTAACATCAGGGCTGTGAGGTGGCTCCCGGACTGCCCGACGTGGTGTTCGGCACTGACTCAGTGCTGTGGTCTTCGTGGTCAGCTCCCTGCCCCTAGTGTGTATGAATCTGGGGTGGCCCCTGAACTATTGGGGGTCCCCGGACGGGGGGTGGCTATCAGAGCTTTGGGACGACAGAGATTTTGTACACTAAGTTTTGATCATGAGTGCGGATTCTGACTCGGTCTATCACGTCCTCTCAGTCTGTTCATGAGACTGCTGTGGTGAGCGGACCGAGGACGGTGTGTGAGGCTAGGACTGGACAGCCCCCGTGTCATTGCCACTGGGGCTGTGGTCTGCCACATGCACGTCCACTCAGGACAGAGCCGGGCTTTTGACCCTCACATGCCCGTCCGCCCAGGACGGAGCCAGGCCTGTGACCCTCACATACTCGTCTGCCCAGGAGGGAGCTGGGCCTGTGACCCTCATGTGCATGTCTGACTAGGTCAGAGCCAGGCCTGTGGTCTGCCTTGTGCGTGTCCACCCAGGACGGAGCTGGGCCTGTGACCCTCACATGTGCACGTCCAGTCTGGGCCTGTGACCCTCACACATTCACGTCCACCCAGGACGGAGCCGATTCTGGGGTCTGCCTTGTGCACATGTGTCCAGTATAGAACTGAACCTGTGACCCTCACATGCTCATCCCAGCCAGGATGGAGCCGGGCCTGTGGTCTGCCGTGTGTGTGTCCTCCCAGGATGGAGCTCTCCGTGGGGGGCCTGGCCATGCCTGGAGGAAGCCGACCTGTGTATCCCCAAGCCCACCTCCTCCTGCACCGTCTAGCTTGCTGGGAAGCCCTCTGACACATTGTTGACCTCTGACCTGGCCTTGGGGCCGTGCGCCATGTTTGTGTGACCCAAGTGGCAGCCCGTCGCTGCTGTCCGCAGCTTCACAGTGACCACGTCCCCTCTGCTTTCCAGCTTCGAGAGCATGCAGAGGCTCTGTGACAAGTACAACCGGGCCATCGACAGCATCCATCAGCTGGTAGGTCGCCTTTGCGCCCCACAGCCCCTCCTGTCTGGGGTGCCCTACGTGCTGGTTCCTGTCCCAGCAGGGCCCTGTTAGTTAGTTAGAGGTGGCATTTTTGAGTCAGAATTGCCTGGACCATTGAGGGCGGGTTATGGGAGGGTTTCGGAGGGGTGGGTTTGAATAGCCCATGGTCCCAGCTCAGGGGGTCATGGCAGTGCCATGTGGGTGGGGCCATTGAGCTGGGCCCTGGACAGGTCTGGTGGGAGGGTGGAGCTGCACCCCTCTGTGCACTCACGTGTGCCGCTCAGCGAGCTCAGGCTGGGGAGGAAGGGCCTTCCCGACACCCCCTCTCCGCCCTTCACGCTGACGGAGGTTACGCGCACACCCCTGCACTCCAGGCCGGGGCGCTGACCCCCGGCTTGTGCCTTTGCCCTAGTGGAAGGGGACCACGCAGCCCATGAAGCTGAACACACGGCCCTGCAACGGGCTGCTGCGACACATCCTGCAGCAGGTCTACAACCACTCGGTCACCGACCCCGAGAAGCTCAACAACTACGAGCCCTTCTCGCCTGAGGTGTATGGAGAGACCTCCTTCGACCTGGTGGCGCAGATGATCGACGAGATCAAGATGACTGAGGACGACCTGTTTGTGGACTTGGGCAGCGGTGAGTGGGGGGAGCCTCGAGACGGGACGAGGGGGCATCTAGTGTCAGCATTGCTTGGAGCACGTCTGTGGGAGGGTCTCCTCCTCCAGATCCCGGGGGTCTGCATGCTTTCCGGCCTGGCCCTCAGCATGACCGTTTCTCCAGCCTGTACCGCCCCGGGTCCCGCCTAACCTGGGGCTGGAGCGCAGTATAATCCTGAGGCCTGGGCCACCCTATCCATCCTCTGAGCCCACCCATCCCTCCTGGGCGCTGACCCGTCTCCTCCTGAGCCCACCCATCCCTCCTGGGCGCTGACCTGTCTCCTCCTGAGTCCACTCATCCCTTCTGGGCGCTGACCTGTCTCCTCCTGAGTCCACCCATCCTTCCTGGGTGCTGGCCCCTCTCCCCTCCTGGGTGCTGACCCGTCTGCCCTCCTGAGCACACACTCCCTTCCTGGCTGCTGGCCCCCCTCCCTGGCTTCTCCCGGGTCCATGGAGAGCAAGGCCCACAGTACCTTCAGCTTGAGTGCACTGCACAGCCTCTCATCCAGCATCACTGTGACCTGGCCCTGTCGTCACCTCCTCACCTGCGTGGCCCAACCTGGAGTGGTCGAGGGGTCATTCTAATTCACCACCCACTCTCCGCACGACTGGGCCCACAGACGTGGGATGTCCAGGGTCACGGGTCAGCCCCCGCCGGCTTTCTCTGTGCTTCTCCCCCCCGCCTTAGTCCTCCATGTGCTGCTGCCCCAAATGCTGTTGGCCTCTTGTCTGGCTGTCCTGTGCACTATGGTGACAGTCCCCAGCAGGGAGAGGACTCTTGGCTCCAGAGTCAGTTTTGACATAAAACCTAGCAAATGAGTCCAAGGAAAACCTTCATGGAGGGGGTCAGAGGGAGGCCTGGGGGGCATGCACTGGCCAGCAGACGGCAGCTGACTGGAGCGGTTGGTGCACACTCTCCTCCGCAGAGCCTCAGCTGTCCCTGTCCCTAGGCCTGGCTGACCTGTGGTGATTGGTGCTAGGGGCCTGAGTGTGACCTGCTGGGGCTCCCAAGAGCCCTGTGCTGGTGCTTCAGGTGTGGGCTACCCAGTGGGTTTCTTGGAGGATCCTTGAGTGTCACCGTAGCCGTCACCACCCAGGCTTTGGACGGAGAGTGGTTCCCGATACAGGCGTGAGGTCTCACCCTGTAGGGTGGGGGCTTGGCTGCCCTCGGTCCGGGCCTGACCTCTGCCCATACGCTGCAGCTCTGTGGGGCCAGCCATTCTCGCGCCGTAACCCAGGCATCGCCTGTCTCTGATGGTGTCTCTGGCCTCGTCTCTTCTCACCAGAGCACTTGCTGTTTTGGACAGTGTCCCTCTCCTTGTTGGTCACTTGTCACCCAGATACGGTCTGACCTGGCACCTCTTCCAAGTGTCCCTCTCCTTGTCCCCCGAGCTCTGGTGGTGCCTATCTCCGATGGTGTATTAGCCACATCTGACAGTTTTCCCTAGTGTTCCTGTCCATGTCATGTGTCACCAAGGGACTGCCTCGATGTCTGTCTCACACAGTGTCCTGTCATCATACCCAGTGACCTGGGCACTGGCTGTATCTGTCAGTGTCTCTCACAGGGTCCTTGCTGTCACCTGTGGCCTGGGCACCGGCTGTCCCTCATGGTGTCCCCCTCTCTGTTTCTCGTCTTGAAGGAGTGGGCCAGGTCGTACTCCAGGTCGCCGCAGCCACCAACTGCAAACATCACTACGGAGTCGAGAAAGCTGACATCCCAGCCAAGTACGCGGAGGTGAGTGAGCTGGGGTAGGGGCGCGGGGGGCGCTGCAGGCATGTGGGGGGGCGCATGGCTGCCTTGCTCTCCCGCCTCGTAGAAGTGGCCACGCAGGGTCACGTGGGGTCACTCAGCCACGCGGTGTGCAGAGCTGTTCCCGTCTCATTGTTGTGCCTCATTTGGGTGGTCAGAGGGACAAGGGACCGGGGCCCCTTGACCAGTCCTGCTGGGCGGGAGCCCAGGTGGACCAGCCTCGCCTCGCACGGCACGTGGGGGGAAAACACCTGTAATGGACTGTGCTCTCTTTCCTGCAGACGATGGACAGAGAGTTCAGGAAGTGGATGAAATGGTATGGAAAAAAGCATGCCGAATACACAGTGAGTGCCCTCCTCCGTGCGCTGTGCTCTGACCACCGTCTCTGTCTCCGTGGAAACGTGCCGTTTCCTCTGTGGGCTCTTCTCGGGCTCCTTGGCCCGTCTGCGGGTGGTGGCATCACTTGGGGTTCCTCCCACTCCGCGGAAGCCCCGTATTGTCCTGTCCGCCCTGGCTTCCAGCGTGGCCCTGCCCCCTGCATCTCCACGTGCCAGGTGTGGGGTGCCTTGTCCTTGGCAGCGGGCACTGGAGTTGGCTTGGCCGTCCTGCGAGGGGCACGGTGGCACCCGGCCCGCCTGTCTGGCGTCTGGCGAGATGCCTGTGGAGCTCTTTGCCTGTTTCTGAATTGAGGTTGTGGTTTTCCATCGCTGGGTTCCCAGAGGTTCTGCGTGTGTGGCTCTCGGATGTTCATTCCCACCAATGTCTTCTCTCTCCGGTGGTGACCTTACATCTTGACATCTCAGGGGCCCAAGGCGCTGTGCCGGGATGTTTGTGGTGCGCAGCGTGGGTGAGTGTTGTTTACAGTCTGGTCCAAGGCCCCAGGGGCCAGGTAGCCGGTGCGGTGTCCCACAGTCGCCTCTGTCTGCCTCACCACCTGTCTGACCACCAGTCCTGCACCAGGGCATCTGCTCTGCTTGTCACCTGCCATTCACACCCACATCCACACAGGGATGTGGATCTGGCCTTTGGAGGCCCCCCAGGGTGTCCCAGCTTTGAAGGAGCCTGGCTGAGGGGCCGAGGTGGAGCGGACAGCAGCTGTGGAAGCCTGTCACCTTGCCTTCTCTCCCCGTGCGGCCTGGCACGGGCCATGCATGGCCATCCTTTGCCTGCTGCTGGCCCAGGGCTGCAGCTGCTCCGTGGGCACCGTCAGGCCCTGGGCCTGCCCTGGTCAGCTGCTCTGGCCTCTGGCTGCCCCACGCCCAGCCGGGCCCTCCTGGGGCTGTCACTGCTCTGTGCGCCGGCACCCCCTGGTGGACAGAAGTGGGTTCCAGGCTGAGCTTCCAGGGTGTGGTGTGCCCACCTGTGTGAGGGTCGCTGAGACCCCCAGGAGGACTTGCAGACATCTGCTCATGCCTGGGCCCTCCCAACAACAGGGCAGGGCAGGTCAGTCCACAGAGGAGACAGTGGGTGTGGTGACCAGAGACCCTGCCCTCCTCCTGGGGCCACTTCCTTTCCCAGCAGCCAGTGTGGGGCAGGCGTGGGGACACCATCCGGCTGTGGCTGTCGTAGCACTGATGGGTGGAGGCACGGGCTCACGGGTCAGTGAAGACCAGGCTTGTCACAGCTGTGGGCATCGTCTTCTGTTGGTAGCGTGGACCTAGAGGGCAGGGCGATGTAACCTCACTGTGAAAGTCGCCGTGGGCATGGCAGAGCCCACAGGGGCCCCGGTGGGATGTCCGCGACAGGCTGACAGGCCACTTCCTCCCTGGCAGCACTGCTCTGCACGTGCTCATGGGACAGGCGTGAGTTCTTCTCTGTGTATGAGCTGCCCTCGGGTCTGTGTCCTCTGGTGTCCCCAGGCTCTGAACACCAGCCTGAAAAACCAGCTCATGTCACTCCTGGTCCTCGGTGGGCCGTGGAGGAGGGGGCGTGGATGGCGTGGGCGGCTGTGAAGGATATGGGGGCCCTGAGGGGTGTCGGGGCCTGAGCCATCATCGTAGCTTTGGTGACAGCGTCAGTAACGGCTGTCTGTACACACGCCATCTTCCGTGAGGACACCCTGCCCCAATCCTAACGAGTGAAAACACCCTTAATAAAATGTCTAGCAGTAGGAAGCATTTCCACAGGCCTCCTCATCTCCAACAAGTACCCCAGTCACGGCCTCCTGACTGACCACACCCACTCCCCGGGAACTCACAGCGTTAGCCGGAACCCTGTTCCGATTTCTCCCCGCCGTTGAACTTAACTCCATCACTCTCAACCAAACCTTAAGTCGCCCTCCGACGCCCATACAGTCTCAGATCTGGGATTCTTCCCAGCCGCCTTGCACCGCCTGCCCATCTGTACAGACCTGAACACAGGCCTCAGCCGTGCAGACATCCCCACCGCGCAAACCCAGCACCTAGTGATGGCCCTGGAGGAGTGGGGGCTGTGCGGGCCATGGCGCGGTGAGGGGAGCCGCGGAGCGTGGGGGCCCTTCGAGGATATAGGGACTCTGAGGGATGTCCAGATTTGGGAACTGAAGGGTGAGGGGTTTGGGACTGTGGAGGGTGGAGGACTGTGG